GTCAATTAAATGGCTAAGTGAAGCTCCCACCATCATACTATCAGCTCTTATTTCAACACAATAAGTTAGTGACGTTAGAGGAAAGTTAGAGAAAACACTGCAGTTAGTGATCTGGATAAGTGTTTCATGCAAAAATACGATAAATGTTGGTTTCAGCCTTTCAACTATTGAGATTTCCTGCTCTTACATGTCTAATATCACATTATAGTGAACATCTTTGGCTTTTGGACTTTAAAAAAACAAGCCATTTAAAGGCATCACCATCATTATTTCTGACATAAATCGATGCATTTTGGAAATAACCAGTAGATAAAAATGACTGACAGTTGCAGCTCTAACTGGAGTTAAGTGTGTGTAAATGAAGCCCCGCCCACTGACCTGGGAGTGGATGTGATTGGTCGGCTGCTGCTGCTGTTGAGGAGGGGCAGGGATTGGCTGCTGTGGGGATTTCCCCTGCTGAGGATTCCTGCCCGCAGCGTTTGAAGCCGGGTTATAAACCACAGCGCTGCCATCGGGGTGGATGAAAGGCTTGCCTGTCAAATGTAAATCACAAGAGATATAAAACCACTGTGATGGGAAACACACACACACACACACACTAATAACTCATGATCATACAAAAGGAAACGCAGAGAAAGACACACCCAGACGTGAGAGAAGAGGCGACAGGAAGTGACTAATCTTGGCACATTTGAAGTTCAGTTTGCAGCTCAAAGTGTACGACTGGCTCATGATGAATATCTACAGATTTCTCCCATCTGTTCACTCTGATCTGCATGCTTTGGTCGGATTAATTTGACAAACAAACTGAGAGCAGAAGCAACATGCCAACTGTAAAAAAAATCTGTCTCCAAGTCAAGAAGAATTCAAAAGTAAACTAGAAAAATCTAAATACATGAAAATGTGTTTTACTTTGATTTGAGAGGGATCATTATTTTTTTTATTCTACCTGTGTCCCTTTAAATGTCCCCATGTCTTCTTCTCTGTTTTCATTTGTGATGTGTGCCATGTTGTGAAAGCCCTTTGAGCTGCACCTTGTGTTTGAAAAGGTTCTATACAGATATATCTTTATAATTATAATTGTCTCCACCCACCTGTGAGTGGGTTGACCAGCACGCTGCCAGGTGGGATCCCTGAGGCTTCCAGCGGCAACACGTAATAGTTGGTTGCGTCTGTAGCGGACGGTGGCTGCGGAGGGACACTCTTGATCATCTCGGGGTGTCCGGAGGAGCCCCGAGTGTCTGTGGGGGACGGATGGATCAAAGGAGCGCTGGGGATGTTGGACCAAGACTGGCCTGAGACGGCGACAGAAAGCTGGGGACGAGACAGCGAACTGGACGAAGAACCCACGCTGCTGCACGATTCTGAACCTGAGGGGAAGACCACGAGCAAACATTTACAAGGGGGAGCTTTAACGTGTTTCAGAGTTATCAATGAAGCAGTCGTGCCCCTCGCATTGCATTCGAGGCCAACTGTTGATGTAGAAAGGGGTTTCTGAGCACCGTCTGTGATGGATTCATCTCTGTATAATCACAGGATGGTGTGCAAAATGGCAAAGATGTGTTTGGGAGGAGGCTGGTCGCAATCTGGTGTTTTTAGACGGAAGAGTTTAATAATGTGGATGCTAACTAATCACAGTGAAGCTGCAGTGGAAATGTAACTATGATAAAAGGTAAAAGGATCTTAGTACAAGTAGCAATTCAAATTACAAGCAAAAGATCGTGCATACTGCAAAAAAAAGGTATTATCATTCAATATAATAAGTATGTTTAACTGTTTTCTGTAAAACAACAATTAAATATGTGGAAATAAATGATTTAACTATGTATTAACCCTTAGATGCCCGAGTGACTGGACCCTACACTCTTCCATAAGTGGGTCAAAAGGACCCGTATTAGAATAATATGCCATTTTTGTCTTTTTGATTAAGAAAAATCACTTGTATAATATTTAGTATTATATTTTGGTTCACACTAGAAATATTTTATATTTAATTTTTCACTATTTATAATTTTAAACATTTTTTTTACATTTTGAAAAAAAACGTTTCCCCATAGGATTCCACAGAAAATGCATGCGGGTCATTTTTGACCCACTTACAAAAACTACAATTTCTTAACATTTTAATTTTAAATTAGAATGGCATGATATCCAAAACATGTTTTTTGAGGAAGAGCTGGAATATGAAATGATAATAAAATGTAATTACAAAGATACTTCAAGAATACCACCTCACCGGGTCAAAAAAGACCCACTTATGGAAGCTTGGGGTAGTAATACAAAAACTACAATTTCTTAAAATGTATAAAATGTCAATTTCAAATTTGAATGGCATGATATCTAAATCATGTTTTTTGAGGAATAGCTGGAATATGAAATGATACACATTTTTAATTACAAAGATACTTCAAGAAAACCACCTCACCGGGTAAAAAAAGACCCACTTATGCATCTACAGTAAGGGTTAAGGAACCCCCATTGGATTAAAGGGAACATAATAAGAAGGTTCATGACTGACAAAGATGGTTTCAAATAGAAATTATGTAACAATAAACTATTAATTTTAAAAGATGGAGAGGAATTTGGCCTTCATCATTTATCAGCCTGTACTCCCAGACAGAGATTGCGTGCAGTCTGCTGAGAGGAGAGGTTATTTGAGGCGAAGGGGAACACGCCGGCACGATGTCTCCTCGACTTATGCTTCCAAAACACAAAGGGAGGGCAGCGAGCCGCCTCGTAAACAACTTAAAAAACTGCTCAGGCAAGAAGCTGCTGCGCCTCTGTGGGGGAGACAGGGAGGAGATTGGCAAAAATAGAAAAATACCAGGCAGAGGGAGGAAACTAAATGGACTCCTTATCCTGAATTCCCAGAGATAAAGAAGACAAACCCGCAGTGAAGAGTGTGTCTCATCTAATCTGAGCCCATCGAGGTACAGATGCATCACATCGTGGAGAAAGCTCCAGCAGGTGTGGAGCTAACTTCATTTGTGGCACTCACGCTTATACATAATGCAGCCACTCCTCACAGCTAGGTTTCACACTTCTGCTGCAACACCTTTGAAAAGCCTCCTCCATCAACACACTGCTGTTAGTTTTGACAGCTGTCGGGCTGCAGACTTTAATGACCGCGACAGGACAACAAACATTTGCTCTGATGAGACCTCAGCAGCCCTAGAGGTCTTCAATTAACCAGGGTGCTCTCCAATTAGATTAGTTTTCCTCTAAATGAATTGTAGTGAGAAATCTCTATGCATCATACAGCTCACCTGTTCAACATAAATCGGCCTTTTGTGGTGTTTTGGTTTCCTCGGGAAAGCAATCAAGGCAGAATAGTGACTCCTACACACTTAAGGTGCAAGAAAATGCTGTTTTTTGTAAATGAGACTGCCTCACTCTGATATTTGTAACATTATAGTACGGCTTTATCCCGTCTCTTGCCTGTTTTCCAGAGCCATTTGTTCTAATGTTGCACTTTTGGAGGAGACATTGCCATATCTACACTGTAGCTAATGTGCACATGACAATAAAGCCTTGAATCTTGAATGTAATCTTCATCTGCTTGTATCTATCTAATGCAAAAGTGCTTCATAAGCTATCTTTTTCTTGCACCAGGTATATTTTCCATTCTGAATCTTCACATTATAGTAGAGCTTTAGACTTTTGGAGAGCCTGCCGGTGCTCTTGTAAATCCGACTGCCTCTTTGAGATATTTTTAACATTACAGTACAGCTTTTATCCGCCTCTCTTGCCTGTTTTGGAGAGCCTGCCGGTGCTCTTGCTGCTGGCCGTGCTGTCCCCGCGCACGAGGCCTGGGCAGATGCCGCTGAAGCTGCTGGCCTTAGTGATGGCGGGTCGGGGCGCGAGGCGGTTGGAGCTGTCCGAGCTGTCGGTGCTGCTCCACGGACGAGGGTCTCCGTGCCGAGGCTCCGTCTCCGAGCTGCTCTGCCGGCTGGCGCCTGAACGGCCGGCCCGCAACCTGGAGAACAAGAGAGGACTCACGCTTAAAAGACATTTCTCTTGCACTATTTTATCTGTTTGAGTAGCTAATGTGCACATGACAATAAAGCCTTGAAATGTAATTGCATCTTCATCTGCTTGTATCTATCTAATGTAAAAGTGCTTCATAATCGATATTGCATGTCTGTATTTTTCTCATTCTTGCACCATTGCAGCCTTTCAGATTAAGGGTGTCACAAAATACCGGTATTGTCAATAACCGTGATGATTAAAAAACTAAATATTGATATCACGTCAACAACCCAACACCTCTTTTAAATTTGCATGTTCTGCTTTTGTACGCCCTGTGGGGATCAACACTCTTCTTATTTGTGTAGTCATGGCCACACAAAGTTAACCATCAATAAAAGAGGGGAATTTAAAAAGAATAACGCGGTCTCAAGGTGTAATTGGTTGGAACGGGCCGGCCCACATGGGCAGAAAATCCTATTAAAACAGAAGCTTTCCTGAGCGGAGGGAAACAAATCCTCAGATCAGCACTCCTGTTCCTCAGCGAGCCGATTAAGACAGACGGCCATTCAAAGGGTTTTTTCTGCGCCTGCGGTTCGGCCTCTGAAAGGAACTGAATGGCGTGTGACGGGAAGAGGGTGGGGGGGGTGCACCTACCTGAACATTTGCCGCCTCTGTTGGGTGCTCATGCATGCGCCTTCATCCTGAGCACTGAAGGGAGAAGAGAGGCGTTAGAGGCGCTGACTAAATGAGATATCCACCATTTTAAAACAACTCTAATTGCCTCTCTGACAAGGCAAACTATAAAAGTGATTGAACGGCTTTAAAAAAAAGGGGCTATGTGAAGACTTAAGGTACACTTTAAGAAGCTGTAATCGGTTCTACTTTGGCCAATTAACGGACAGTTTATCATCTGTATTGGAGAGGTTTTTGGAGTGCTCAATGAGAAGTGAAGCGAAGTCAGTGGCCATGAGATTAATGTGGGTTTTACTACTCACCTTCTATCGAGAATGAAGTGATCTCCCTGCGGGGGG